TACACAGCAACTAGTACAACTTCAGTAGCGCCACAAATGTTTTTGTATCAACGCTGACAGGAACAGAAGTCAGATACTACCTATTCTTCCTCGCAAGACCTGAAAACATGATACAAATATAAGAGCTACACTCGATATTCCAATTTGCTAATACGTAGAACCATACCTCATATCGAAATAATAGAAACTTCGCCCTTTTACTTCAATATATTGTTGTCTTTCAATAATTAAAGACAAATCCAATACATATCAAAATAACAATGACAACTTCGAGCTATTTCACAGAGAAAACTGGTAAATCTAAATGGTGACGACATAATAGTTGTTAGTATTACACTTCCTTTATGGAAAAAATATAGAATTATTCAGGAAGAAATGAAAAATATGTTGCCATTAAATCACAACGAAATCAAACAGTAATAGGAAAATGAAAACAAGGAGAATAACAAATATTGTGAGATATGTGAGATTGATTGCTGCTGATAAACTAAGGTATTATTTCAATAGCAACAATCAGTCCCAGATATCAGATTCAAGAAAGAAAATCAAACTAATCAGTAATCAGCGAGAGTACTAAGTTCTAATATGATAAAAACAAAGTTTGATATCACTCCCAAACTATTTACATATCAAGATGAGTTTCAACTACCACAGAATTTTTTGCAGCATTCTTTCGATAAAAGCATAGCGCATTTAACAAATATTGCCTCTCATGACAAGAGACCCCGTACTACGGCTTTCCACATTTATGCGTGGAAAACACGACTGCGTGAACGGAGTGCTTGTTTCCGTCACAGTTCTGAAAATAACAATGGATAAAACAAGGTATAATGCGACCAAAGATAGATATCGTACATTAAAAAAAGCTATAAGTCCAGGGAAAACAAAAACTCACAGAGTGCTTAACATATGATCTAGAACGCTGACATTATTCCCAACTTGAGATGAGCCAGGTCCATCTTCCAGATCCTTCAAATTACTACTCGAAGCATGTTCTAGTCTCTATAAGCGTTAGTTACGATAACACTATTCAAACAGTACAAAATTAATTACTTACAAGTATAACTATTTCTGACATTGAGTTTTGAAAAACGAACATTAAATCAAAACTATTTCAACTAGAACTTTACATCTATTGTTATGAAAGCGCTAATACTAGGAATACATGAAAAGTTTGGCCATGTATAGCGATCAGTTCTGAAAAACCACCATATAACTGTAAGATAGCTATACAAATACTGATAGTCCTTTAGAGAACAAACAAAGCGACGATTATAGTGATTATTACTATTACTAAAATTGAATAAAAATAAATCAGTACACCTCAGAAGCACAATAATTGCAGCGCAAAGCAAACTCGGAAGATTGCTGCGAAGCATTGTCGGTACCAAGGATAGGATGTCGTACAATATTGCTTTCCTCAGTAATACCAACACTATCCCATAATCTGTAACTTCCAAAGAAAAAAAGTAGTACAAAAATCAAATAACTTCTTCGGAATGTCTCCAATACTGGCTTCTGATTCCAAGACTTCTACATCTCTACGAAGACGTCTTGATTCCACCCTTAATTCATTCCTAAGAACATGATCATCATTATGATTAGCGATAAATTACAGAAGGCTCACCTTCTTCGGCTAGCAAAATACTGAGAGTAATAGGAATGTCCATCCAGACTTGCTGCGAAGTTCACGAGTCCCTAAATTCTATCATTGTTTAGAGGATTGACAAATTTAAAAAACCAGAAGTATTTGTGATCCGCACGCCAGTAACTAAAGTAATTAAAAGAACAGTGCAGAAATAGGACTTATTATTTCACATTTGACAGTTTACTAATTCATTTAAAAACTATTACTTCACAATTCACCCGTTTAGCCAATAATTTTAGTTCGTATTCTGCAGCTCAATCAAGATACCAATTATACGACCTATTTATTTTGTTGAATTAGCGCTCTTATCCATGAGCATAAATACATACCAACTGCTCACATCCTACTTCAGATGAACGCATGTGAATGAACTGGCAACGGAACCCATAAGGACAAGAACCGTATAAAGCAAATTTGTTGCACAACTGAGTCTTATATTTCGGGTGCGGCTTAAATTAGAACATAATACTTCACTGACTGAGATTAATAAAACCAATAAAGTACTTCTCTTCAATTACTTTAAGGTTCGACTCATCTTCAAAGACAATTTAATTTCGATATGAAAAATCTACCCTCGGCGTAGGTCGCAACTCAGCGTAACCATGCGCAAAACGACACTGTTGGCCATAATGACACTCGCCATTATTTCGGAATGAATCACATAGTGACGTTTTATAAGAGCCCATGCGACGACGTTCTAAATGACTTAAAAAGTAAACGAAAACATAATCACACACATAATTTATTCAAAAAACAAAATAAATCAAGATAGTAAAGGAATTGCGTACATAATCCTGAACAAAAAATACTTTCAAATATATACCACGAAGTAGGAATTGTCGTTCTCTATCGGAAATTATTTTCTGCCACTCCATTCTAGGATGTATTACCTAAATCAAAAAAAGGACTCCTCAGAAAGAACTTGGGACTTAACGACAATAAGATGCTGCAAATATATTAGATATTTGCCGATAAAATAAATCATCAATAATTGCTCCAGTGGTTCTGCCTATAAACACGAGAACCACAGCGAACTTTTTTGGGTACCGTATAGGAATCACACAGAATTACTAGAAAATCAAGAAACAATTGATAAATAGAGATGGTGAACGCAAAAGAGTCAAGGTAAACTATTACTGATAAAGGTGCTTGTAACGGTGACACGACCTGCGTTGCAGGTGGGACGACTAAACTGAACATACTTTCCGTTTTCGCTCCTTCATTATCATCACCCTGTAAAACAAAGTGACATGCAACACATTGCCGAACACAAAAAATTAATAAACGAAGTACTGATATATTCAGATAAGGAATAACATAAAGAGATTAGATGAGTAGAACAAATAAAACCAAGTCCACTTCTATATGTCTTGATATCATGCGATCTAAACTATTACAAGCTATCCTCTACTAATTCGGAAACATTCGAAATTGAATGATCTACACATCTACAATGACTAATCAAATCATGTTGGAGGGAAAATTAAAATATATTAAAATCTTAAGTTACCGCTATATTTGGAATACTTCCAAAAATATAGGGTCTGAATGCTGACAAACCAACTGTTCGCGACCCTTCTCGATACGGAACCAAAAGCCTAAATCAAATTTACAGAGGCACCGTCTCAAAATAACAATCTTGTAAATATACAAACCACGACAATCGATGTACTGTGACTACAAAGTGTAACTATGCAGTGAGCAATTAAAACCAGTTAATTAAAGATGAACTAGTTTAGATAAGAATTATATATGAAGATCAGAGTTGATAACCACAAGATACAACCCTTTCCATACCTGCTGGAATCTTCCGGTGCAGCCAGCATTTGAGAGCACATAATGGGATGTGATCAGAAGTATAGAGAGCTTGTGCAGTGCTCAATACGCAATACACTAAACAAAACTCAGGTAAGAAATGTGAGCAGTTAGTACAGGTTACTTGTTACGGAAGAGAAATCACATGAACTGTTCTACAATACAATGACCGCTTCTTACTCAACAAGAACAATAAACCACGACATTGGAAAAATCAAAATATAAGTTTGAAAACGTGAGCCAACAACCTCCTGCATAACTGCATCATCGTAATCAACACATTACCCGCTTTTGTCCCCTCCAGCTGTAATTTAGAAAAAAGACGTGACCTATGGTGACGTAGCAGCCACTCTCATGAATTCAATACTATTACTAATTCTCCACAAATAAGTATTGATATTAATTGGAAGAAATTAGTGCATATCTCTGTTACAATTCCAGTAAAAAGATGTTTTTCTAATCAAGTGACCTCTTGTGACCCCCTTCCCTTGTCTAGTTTACGAGCATAACAAAAACCATAAATTGCACTAAGCAGGTTCGTAAAACACAAGGGCAAGTAATTTGTGGTTAGCATTTAGATCAGTAATGTTCCGGCACATCGTAACAGCAAGCAATTGGAATCACCGGGCATATAGTAAATTTATTAATAGAAACGAAGGATTAATTCTTGAGTTATTGCATTATTCTCCCACCATAAGACATAAAACACAAATTAAGAATTAAACCATCACTACTACGAACTGATTAAAAATACTTGGCATTAGTCTCTGATCCACCACTCATTTTCTACGCAACGCAGAATGAGGTAAACCAGATAGGATGTCACGACCCGAAACATGTCCCAGTTAAATGAGACCAATAAAGACCCGAAAACAGTATAAACAAAGTGATAAAAGGATAATCTATGTAGATAACGAGACCCCAACCTCTATTCAAACCCGATCTAAACATGAACTAGCAAGTGAACAACTCACAATTAAGTAAGTTAGGATATTCTGCATACAACACGTATTACCGAAGCATATAAAAGAATAGCCTGTGAACGTCTGCTTGGTGGCTGGCCGACAACTGACTTACGGTACTGTCGGCAATTGCAAAGGGCTATGGTAGGTTCCATTGTATTTGAAATAAGAACCTCGTTACGACTTGTCTGTCTCCCACTCTGAGTCTAAATGATTCATTGCGGAGGTGAACAAAAACCATCTGTCACGTTGTTCTGCATATCTCGCAGAGGAACATATGAATTCCCTCAACTTCGCAAAGTTCCACTACTGCACATCTCGTTCCCTCACTACCACAAAAATTTGCACACAACTCTATCCCCAGATATCTCACACCCATCTGCCTTTAGGTACCTTAAATTAAGATCACATGCGAATGTAATCACCTCCTCGACTTGACATACCAATTCCGATTCTTCCCACTGATAACATATCATGCATGCGCCAACCACTAACATGTCACAAATATACTGTATTTCCGTGCATAATGTGATATAAACCTACCATCACCACAGTTTAATAGCGTAGGCGTCATTTGCAGTTTAGTTTATCCACTAACACTTTCAAATAATACTTCAAATATGTACACTCTTCCGAGAATTCATACTTGAAGTGATAAAAGTGTACACTCTTCCCAGTAATACTGCAAAGCATACATAGGTTATGGTTGATAAAAATATTCCACAGGTAAGTTGAAGTACTACCTACACACAGACAAGGCTTGACATTCCTTTCTCGTAATCGACCAAATAGTAAGGTATTCCAATGATTCAGAAAACATTTGTTGAGTGCTGTATTCCCCAAATCAGCACTTTCACATTAATTTGAATTGTACGGCTATAGGACTCAGTAGATTTGTAACCTATATGTTCTTTTAAGAGTAGGCTTATATATTTCAGTTCACGAACTATATAACTTATCAAGACTTGCACCCTTACATTCTTATAATTGCAATGATTGTGACCCGATTACCAATGTCCCATGCTGCAATTTAGGACGATAAATCATAAAAGTTGAGGGGCCATTAGACCCTAATTAGACTCATATCTACTGTTATAACAGTACTTACCAACACTTGCAACCTTCACTGTTATAACAACAGTAGATATGAGTCTAGTTAGGGTATTTATGAACATTAAGGTAGCAAATGTGCTAGCACACACTACGTACAGTAGAGGTAAATCAACCCCCCTCCACTGTAAATTTTCAGTCGACTGACCAATAGTGGAGGATTGCAAATAATTTCTACACATTCTTAAGAATTTTCTGCGGGGATACTGGGGTGTGGTGTGCGGTAATGGGAAAGAATATCTGTCTGTGTGCACAGCTGAAACACACAAAGCTCTTTGTTTGCAGATCTGTCTTGTGCAGATCTAATGGCAGGCCGGCTGATTAATGGGCAGGGATAGACTGAACAAAGAAGAATTTCTTCAAATCCCCTCACATTCCTTCACATCTTAAGGAGGTATTGTGTGTGTATGTCTATTTGAGCGTGTGCGCAATCTTTCAACGAGTATAATAATTAATTGCCCGATTCAATTCAGTTTTCTTCCAGTCTAATCAGTGGTCTTTCTTAAGTAAATTTCCTCAACTACTGTAATGGTTTGCCAGATATATAAATATTCAAATTATTATTCAAGGCATTCGTCTCGATAAGAGTAAATGCAGTTCCGTGTGGTCTTGTCTTCTATCTTTGGGCTGTGCTATATTCACTGTTTTCCAGTATTTTTTTTCCAATACACTTTAATCAAACTTATTGAATTTTGGTAACTTATGTGTTTTTGGGATGAATAAGATTTCATGTCTTTAATTAATCAACTTCCATTCGTATCGTTTTAAACTATTTAAATTGTTTCGCCTTCCGGGGAAGCTGCGAGCAGTTGAAAGTTAGCTGGTTCGGAAAACGATTTATGAAAGCATTTTACTTGACCTTTACCCCTGCTTTATGAAGCATCGTTCTCCACATTATACAAGCTTTTGATGATGAAGTTATTTCCTTAGAGTTTGCTTAGGGCATTGAGCTGTCACTGATGATAGCTGATACGAGAGAAGTGAACTTTCGTAAGGTTTTGAATTCGTGATTGTGGGGTCGGAAGATTTACGAAATTCTTGTACACGACCTAAGATTTCTTTTCGATTCGTTACAGTTAACGTTAAAAACCTTCTGAGAGCGTGTACATTACTTTCGAGTACCAAACTAACTTATAATGGATAATGGACATTATGAGTTTGTTTAGTAGTCGATCAGCGAAGTACTTAATCGCCCTAATACTCTTGATGATTGGAAAAAGTCCCAACTTATTCCGACCTCTTATATTATCACCCACTTTGTTCACAAAACTGCTAATCAGCTGACTAGTTAAGTTTATTTCTAGCACGACGGTAATGCAAGATAGGGTATTTATGCGCATTACTTTATTATAATAAGTGGAATGAGAGTAAAGTGGTGAACAGCGGTTGGACGATTTCAGCTTCTGTTTGGCTACAGATGTACATTTAAAAATTGTGCAGAACGAATCTGACGCTTAAGTGGTTGTTTTGATGAAGAAAAAAGTAAGTATTTAAGATCCATCATTTTGTCAACGAAATCATGAGTGTGTGTTACTTTTTGGTTCACAGTGCAAATATTGATGCGTAATTCCTTTATAACCGATTTTCATTGCTTTCTACACATATTTCAAGTTTTTCGTCCACATACGTACTTTTATTTATTTGACGTATCTAACAACATATATGTAAAGTAAGAGAACGTGGAAGTTAGTCTTCTTTTTACTTTATTAATTCTGGCACCGGATCGGATTACGACACTTCGACTGTATTTGCCCCACGCTCAGATTTGCTCTGCTGATCTTCTCCTCTTCGACCTCGTGAAATCCATAGCGATTATCAAAGGAAATCCTTTGGAGCATTTTCTTGAGAATTTTTGATTGAAAATATGCCCCGACTGTACCAAATATACTGATCTCCGCGAAGCGTTTGGGGGAAGTTCGTTGCAATTCCAACCCAAATCATCATATACGGAATTATTTTCATCCTGAATTTCGTCTCTAGCTCGAGTTTATTAGCCAGTAAATTCAAATAGGCCCTGCCGCCTTCCAATGGGACAAATAGAAGATTATGTTCTCAAATTCGGCTTCAGAGGAGGTGTCATTCATTTCATCCATATATTCGTTCTGACAGATATTGTCATCTTTTCCCATCCTCAACTTCCTCATCGTACTTCAAAAACCCCTGATTTCTTTCAATCCTACATTTGTAGCTTACAGGCTATATTTCGGTTTAATCTTCTGAATAACTCGAAACTGGCGTTTTGGATTTTAAATGCTTACGGGGCCTATACCTTTTAATTTTGCTTTCGTAAACCCTCACACGGTGTATCAATATGCTTGGCGCGTCATGACAGTCACGTTTGAGAGCAAATATAGATTCATGTCTCGTATGCATTTCTTGATCTTCTTTAGGTCTTTACCTCCAAGTTTTTCACAAAAGTTCTTTCTATAAAAATTTTGTAGAAATTTAACAAACTTACGTTCTCTGTGCTTGGATATCAATCTTCATAACATTGTTGTGCTACCCGTAGCTGCCTTACAATATCGGTCATTGACTTAGCAGAATCTTATGTGACGTATTCCATCCTCCATTTGGTTCACCACTCGAAGTATATATGCGGATCAATTTTTTCTTCTGTCCACTTTGGTTTATCTCACTTCCCTGTGCTCTTGCATCAGCATTAGGTATTTCTCCTTTACATCTAAATAAACATACTCGTGTTCCGTTTGAAGTACGTGTCTCGTGCTTTGATACGCTTCGTTAGATCCTCCAAGAATCGTTTCTGTGATCACGGAATTCGCTCGATTCTTCAGTTTTTCGAGGGTAGTTGCACACAATACAGGAAACATTGCAAAGGCCATCCACCTTTCGATATTCTTCCAGAACGATCAAGAATGCTTTCAGCACCTCTTCTGGCCATACATTTCGTAAAATTTCGGTTATTCGGAGGAGTCCTTCGATCGTGAATATTCTGCTGGCACCTGGCTTTGGTATACTGGCAGAATGCTCTTTCACACCATCACAGACTTTGTCTAACCGCTTCTGTTTTTCCAGTGTTTTCATTTATGATTCTGCCGATTTTTTCATTTTGCCCTCCATTTTATGTTTCTTGAGCACAGCTGCTTGAAGTTATCCACACATATGTCATGCTGATTGTATTGGTTTTTTAGTCAAAAGTTGATGTTAGTGATCATCAAGTTGTTCATGAAGAAGCGATTACGGTAGAAAGTTCAGTAACGATCGGTGTTGCATGTCGTTTGGGCAACGTAGAATTGACGCGGCAGTTATTGCTTACTGGACATCGATTATTTCCAGATGATCGTTGTTGGTGGCCATTACATGAAGCTGCATATGGATTGCATTTAGATTGTTGTAAAGTGCTTATTGATAGTGGTAGGAATTTTGCATGCTTTTTACCAGACCATAATTTTGTCAGTGATGATTAAAAGCATAGGTTTAAATGACTTAAGTCTTACGTAATGTGTTATGAATAATTTTTTTCTAATATTTTTGTTTGTTATCTAATATTCATTTTCCATATGAGGTTACCTTTAGCTGTCGTAGTTATTCATTCTATGAATTATAAAACTTTTTCTTGCAAGGTTCTTCAGTTATTGAAATTATCTGAATTTTGGTCTCTTTTGACGCTTCTTTTTCGCTTGTTTTCAAGGACTATGTAATGTGAATGCTCAAGCTCATGATTCCGTCACGCCGCTGATGCTAGTTTGTCGTAGTACAGCTAGATGTAATGAAGCACTGAAAGTAGCGCGATATCTTCTTGATAATGTTAGTCATAAATTTATGACTCAAGCTACATATGGGGTTCAAATTTTCTTTCTGAGCTGTAGTGAGGACAAATATTCAACACAAGTTATTTTTAAATTAATTTTTGGAAGAAGGGATTAAGCAAACTTAGATTATATTTCAATTAAGAATATTCTGTTGAACCGTTAGTATTGCTTTAGGGTGCAGATCCAAATCTAACTACTTTGGATGAAATGACACCATTGATTCAAGCCATTAAATCTAAGAATAGAAGATTAGCTTCACTTCTAATTGAAAGAGGAGCCAATCCACTAGCTGTGTGGTACGATGGTTGGTCAGCGTTGCATGAATCTGCAAACGTTCATGATTTGGTACATTGTTTTTTAATTGTAGATATTGTTTGTAAGGCACCTGTTGTAAATGTGTCTAGTTCATCTTCAGTAGAAGAGTAAATGACATGTCGTTTCAGTCCTTTATTTTATTTTTCAATTTGTCTTCAGTATTTTAATAAGATGGACAACTTTTAAAAAGTATTTGAAGTGAAATATTGCTTCACTATGTTATTGTTTCAGTAATAAACATAGAAAGAAATGTGAAATAGAAAGGACATCAGAGAGGTGTATATTAGGTGTTTTTGTGCTCGCTAGCGGCTAGTGATTAAGAGTATTGGATTTGTTCTAGATTATGATGCGGCAGCTGATCAATTTAGGAGCTGATGTATTTGCCGTTGATACTCACAAACATACTCCATTAATGGTTGCTGTACAGGAGAATTTTTTTGAAGGTACCAAGTTACTACTAAAAGCAGCTGCAGGTAAAGGACTTTTGTAAAATTGCTTCACATTTACGAAATCTTATCATGACATTTATCTTCATTCGGCATGAATCATAGATCTCTATACGTTCTATGCGCAAAATTAGACTTGCAAATGTATTCTTGAGCACGAGTTATGAAACGAATGTAAGAATAACGCTTGCCTTCTCTAACGATTATAGCATTTATTGAATACTAGTTCTCTTCAGAATTCATCGGTAGCAACTAATGCATTATAGAGGTTTGATTAGCTTGTAGGATTTCTTGAGATTTATTGATCAAAAATTTGCTTAAAATTGGACGGCTAGTTCTTAAAATGGCTCCAAAAATATTTGGTGACATACTGAAGTAATTTAAGGCGGGATAAGTTTGTTTTTTTCAAGCTTGATTGACTGAGTTAAAATTTCTCATCGTAGAACGTGCAGCTGAGCTGGCTAATATACCGATATCACAGGGACTGACCTGCGTCATGGCAGCCGCTGATGGTGGATTCGTAGATGTATGTTTTTGAGAAGCATTCACAGTCAAAAATATTTCAAAATGTACTTGAAAATAGCAAGTTGCGTACTTGCTGTTGTTTAAGTTTTATAATTATATGAATATAACTCAATTCTTTCAAGTATCAGAATGAGACAGTAATGAACACTTAAGCATAATAAAATTAAGAAAATTATACAAGTGTATGCTTAAACCGCTGGAATCAAATTTTTATAGATTCTTCGACTATTAATAAACTACGGTGCAAACTGTAACATAACTCGACATCCAATGTGGGATGATGATGACAGTCACTTGCATCCCATTGCGGCAGCAGCACTAAAAAATCATCTTGAGTGTGTAGATCTACTAATACCTCATGTAAATAAAGAAATTTTGAAAAGAACTGAGGTTTATATTCACTTTATAAAAAAATTTTCTAGTTGATTGGGACGGGCAAGAAAGTTTTATAAGTTAGATTCAGATTTTAATCTTTGATTTATTATAGAATCAGAAACTCAGTGTAGGTAGGGTTTGCCACATATATTTTTGTTGGTCCGGTGTTGCAATAATTTCATGTAAAGATTTTATTGATTTCGTTTAAATAAAAATCTAGGTTGATCCTGTCTCAGCAGCTGCTTACAGTGGTTCATACGAATGCCTTTGTTTGTTATTAGATGCTGGCTTCTCTACTGAAGTTTGTTTTTATTACTTTTTATATTATTAAAATTCCTATTATTTTCATGCTGTCCTCATCATTCGGTCAATGCTGTCATCAGAAATCCAAGTGCTCGCATAGAGCAGTACAAATTTGTAATAAACAGTTCCAGAACTATCAGTAGAATATTGTTAAATGAATAAGTTCTTCATTGTTAGTATACAGTGGAAGTGCGAGACATTATTTAATAAGGGTCATGGAAAGTATTTACAAATAATTTTGTGCAGTGAAAAGTCATGTAAATAAAGCGGCTGTTGATAGTTTATGTTAATGAGACAGCACTTGCGAACATTTTAAAAATCGATTTTTTGCATAGATTTATTTTACAGTACATGGGAAATTAATAGTGATGGTAAGGATAAGGCCTTGAATTTTAGGTGCCGATGCGTTCGTGTGAACAAGTGGGGATGATTATTCCTTATTTACGCCCCATATTTTCGCGTCAGTATCACACAGCATTACGTGAAGCTGTACGGAAAGGGTTTACCTCAATTGTTAAGAAACTTATCGAAGCTGGTGCTAAGGTAGATTCTTAATTTTTTCGTATTTCGCTCCTCATTTTTGTCTCTTAAGATGCGACACAGTGGAATCTTTGTGAGATAAAAATTTCACACTTTTTCATCCTTTTGTATATCATTCTCGTTTATAATCTTGTTGATCTCACACCGATCCCTTTGTATTAATATTTTCATTCAGATGATATATGTGGAAACTTGCTTTTCACCATTTTTATTTTCATTTCGAAATCGGATTGATCCTGCTATTTTGTACCTATTTTTAGAAAACGATGTTGATATCAACGCAATGAGGTAAAAATGAAGTTATTTGGTCACATATTCTTTTTTGATTTTCAATTTGCCAAAAATTATATAAAAAATTAAAGAATTTGAATCTTCCAACGATAATGTATGCAACTTATCGTTTTCATTTAGCGATAAAAATTTAGATGGTCAAATAAACGAACATTGTTGTTTTCATGATAATTATATTTTCATGATAAAATATTGTTAATACTTGTTTTAAATTTTTTAACGCAGGACTTTTCTATCAGTTTGAAAATTTCTCTATCAGCAACTCCTCTTATTGCAATCTTTATCTGTTTAAAGAAGTAGTTCAATAATATTTCTAGCGTTGAACGATTGTGTGACGTACCAGATGCTTTGGTATGTGCATTGGGTAGTTTCAATCGTCGACAATTGCTGCTGCTATTGAGATGTGGTCTTGATCCATCTCTAAAGGTCAGTTATGTTTCAGGTTTACAATATTTCATTTTTCAATCGGTATTTTTGACTTAGTTCCTTCTGATCTTGTGAAAAGCTGCTAGCTTTCTATCATTAGGAGGTCGAAGATTAATCGTGGTCATTTCTTAATACTTTCATATTTTCTAATTTAATTTGCATGTATTTGAAATTTTCGAGTACTAGTTCGGTGATTACATCCTAAACTTTGCAAACTTTTGAATGCTTGTTGCTAGTTTAGCAGAAAACTTTTTCCCTATTTCTAGAACTGGTGTAGATGCAGAAATGGCTACTCATTATTGTATGACGTTATGCAAACAACATATGTCGAAAACATTGATAAGTTGATGAAATTATTGGTATTGTTTTCACCTGGAATCCCAAGTTGCTGCGATGAAGTAGCACAGATTGTTGGCACATCACCTGAGGTAATGAATGGCTATCATTAATTTTATGTGGACATACTTAAGCTTAAGCAGAAGATTCTTTTCCTCAGACTTATTAATTTCAGGTTCCCAGTCTACTACATTTATGTCGTCTCACTGTGCGCAAGTTTTTTTCAACGTCCAAACTTTTACTTGGTCGATTTCTTGATGATATCGTTGTGCCATACAACTTAAAAGATTACATGACTTTTCGATTCATTCCAGAAGACCTTTTACCAAGTTAGACTATACTATAAGTGAGTTACATCCTTTATTTAGAAATTACTTTGTCATTTTTTCACTGCTTTTTCAATTCTTCATCAACTGTGAAGTTTTATTTCGGATTGAAATATCTGCTAGTTTTTTCTCGCCTTATTGTTTTGTTTAAATTTTGTTACGTTTGAAATGTATTTCTGCAGTGTACTTGAATATGTAAACTTATTATGTGTGTATTTTCTCATTTGATCTGTCTCAATAAATTGTGCGGGATGCTCTCATGCATTTGGAAAAGTACATAATTGCGTAACTTGTTCGGAATTTTCGAAGTATAATTATCGAAACTGACCATTCAATTTTTATAAACATTTTATGATGGAGTGGTATTTGTTTAAGAATTAATTTGTGGAGAGGAATTGTATGAATACCAGAAAGTCATTGAAGTAGTAGATGAAGTTATCTTTGGTTGATATGTAATATGGACAGAATATGCAAGTTGAGTAGTCTCATACAAATCACGTATTTTGATATATTACTGGCCTCCACTCTTTTCGAACTTGTGGTATGGTGTGACAGCTAGACTAGATATTAACCTCGCGAAACTGTAAGTAATATGTCGGGTAATTCTTGATATAATTCTATTAGATAATTGGCAACTGTAGTTCGGGTTGAGTGTTAGTCATCTATCATTAGTAATTTTAAGGACAAGTAAGTTGTTATTTGTATATAAATATTTAATGGTGGGAGGGTGCACAGGACTGATCTGGATTACCCTGGGATCCATTTGTTCTTATTCCCTTGTAGATGTTTCTCGATTTTATGCCATTCGCTCTCAACATTTCACTTAGATCTGTCAATATCTGGAACTAGGCAGGGGGGAAACTATCTCTATTCTCGGTCCACAACTGCTTAAGACAGAAACAAAGTATCTAGCATGATGATAAGATTTGTGGATCCAGAATATCAATAAAGAAGCAAGCAAGCAATAAGTATTTCAATCTCGACTAAAACAGTAACAATGAAATAATGAAGAGTTCGATCCACAATTAACAAGCAATTTTATGACTACAAAAGTTAATGTAATTGTATTCACTTCTGTAACTGTGATGGGAAATAACTTAATTTGACGCATTTTCTTAAACTGCTCAGTGTGCATATCACAAGGTCGCAGTGCTCTGCTCTGGAAGATAGTAGTACTGTATTTGCCATATTCAAGAAAAGTGAGAAGTCCGTTTGAAAATCAATCTGGTATGCATGGATTTTTTCAGTAACACGTTTCTGTTTCTTCTACAATCGTTGGCATCCGCTGTACTTTACTAGACTGCAAGTGGATTTCACTGTTAGGTTGTTTGTTCATACTGTTTCTCAAAGTTATCCGTGAACCGTTCGGTAACGTTAATACTTTCTCAACTTCACTTTCGCCTTTTCCATCTGAAATAGATGAGATTTTACGAAAAGAAAACGAGATAGTTTTCATTCGTTTGCTGTGAAGTTCTTTGTGAGAAAAGAAAGTTCCGCTAGTAAAATTTAGTCGAAGTGGTCAATTTGTCTGGTTTCTGGGAGGTTCGTTATATCAACATGAAGAACAATTTCTAAACTCGTGTTCTTAGTCTTTACTAATTTTAGTCCAAAGCTAGTCATTACAAGAGAGATCTCTTGATTAAAATAAACAAAGGGTTGATAAGGAATTCTACGCCGTAGTCACAAATTATCATCCATGCAAATTGAAGCTAGAACAAATGCTTCGGGAATGGTTTCTATGAATAGTAAGTAAATCAAAGGTTCTAATGACTAAATACAAGGTTTTGTCTTTACCATTTTAATTTATGGCAATGTTGTGGTTAGCACTTTTCTAATATAATGATGAATGGCTAAGAAAGACTTTCAAAATTGAACAAAATATTTCGTAATGAATAAAATGCGAATTTAAGTGACTACAAGCAACGAGCTTCGAAAACAGTTATGTATATCTTGGATTCTGAGTTTATGTATTATTCAATGCCAATAATTTGCTTTGCAGCACTATAGTTATGTTATCAACATAATGCTTGGTTTTGGTCCATACAAATGTGATTCTTAAAAGTAGAGATACGATGGCATATTTGTAACAGTGCTGCAGATCGGTAGATACTGCTAAAAAGCTATGAACGGAATTCTTACTGCTTGGCTTATTTTAATTAGTATTTAAATGATAATAGCGAATCCAAATTAAAACAGCTTGCTATAATTACAGATTGTCTCGTGTAATTTATACAAATACACGTAAATTATACAAATATTTGAAATAATTTAAACTAAAAAATTATGAACATAATCGAATTATATCAGAAATAGCTTTGCTAACTTTTATTTTTAAGAGTTGTTAGCAGTTGTACGAGCGGTAAATTCTTCTTCACACAGTGCAGATAGATAGCAGAAACAAAAATGACTAGCACAATCGAAAGAAGTATTATAATAACCCATATTACAACTATCAACGTACGATTCTTATCTGCAAAATATTCTTAAATGG